GGAAAAGGTATATCGCGGATAATTATTTTTATATAATTTTAAATATATATCATTTAGATCACTTGGCATTGCCAGTAATCAATGGCCAGTCGCACCGTCTACGGTTCCTCGCGGTTTCTAGCCTTCTCCCTCGAATTGTGGCCTTCACCGCTCCTGAAATTATTGCACTGTCGTTGTAGACCATCAAACAGCCTAATTCACCTAATTTCGGATCCGTGAGACGAGCTATATGCCTTCTTTCTGTGTTCATCGACTATGACCTTCACCCCCTTCCACTCTCTCGTCATCGTGTTGGAGATGTGATTGAATCCCTCGATTCCAAACATTCTTCTTTGCATGACTATTTCGATGACAGATTGTTTGTGCTCTATTGGTTTAGTGAGTCAAGACGTATCACCGCCATAAAACGTTGTAAGAAGGACGGCATAATTCAAGAGGTTGGCGTGAGTTCATTTCTTGATGTTGTCGAGGAAGATATGCTTGATGGGATGGAACGCACGTCAAACTACTTTCCCTCTTTCTTCGTTGAACTTGTTCATCATGACCATGACCCATGTTGATTTTTTAGCCAAAGTAAATGTACATATCGACTTCGACTTCCTCGACCGTTTCGCCGTTGCATGCGCCTTTGGTAGTTCATCGAATCACTGTACTTTCGTCTTTAGTCATCTGATCAAACCGATTTGACTAGCCGATTGAATGGCTGTTTAACATTTTGCGTCAAGTCTTGCAGCATGTCATATAACAGACTAGTGTTTCCTTAAGCAGTGTCAAATCATCAGCGAACCTTAGGTGACTGAGCTGCTCACTATTTGACGTTTATCCTAATGCACCAAGTGTGACTGCAGAAAACCCCAGTGATGATCATTGCACTCCCTCCAGCGAATGAAAGGAAAATAATAATCTTGGAATTAAAAACTGATATTTTGAAACCAAAGGAAAGAATATTGTCTTTAACTTTTCCAACCGCTACTAGAGTGAAAAATAAGGTAGAGTAAATGAAGCTGCATTAATTATAAATGATGATATCGTTTCTTTTATTTGCATTTGAAGATAGACTGTTTCATTCGTGCGCTGGTGGTCATATTGAAAAGCATCATAAACACGGTTTATTAATACATAACGCAAGAGAATAATGATATTTGACGATTCACCGACGTCGACGTTTCGGCTCGTGTGTCACTGCTTACTTTAAGGTAGCAGATTTTTAGAGCCTGAAAGGTTTTCCTTGTTGTACACAGTCTTTCATAGTCCGGAGTCATAACGCAAGGCTCGTTCTGACGGTTAAATAGTTTCTGGGCGACAGGGGAGACAAGGCCCATCCAATTCACGCAACGTTAGTATTCTTTGTCACGGTTGAAATTCAATGATTAATACCTCTTTCACACGTCTGTGCAATCAGGTCTTTCTTTGATGATGCCGATACCTCTACAATGACCATCGAGGGAGTATCCTTTGATGTGTATCGTGCTGTACGTTGTACATTGTTCCTTGACTTTCCTTTTTCTTTCGTTACCACATGTAAGTCATGCTCGTTCGCAAACCTTCCATATTCTACAGCTTCTTACCTACACGTCGATACTGGTCAGTTTTTCGATTTAATCACATTATTACTTTTGTTTCTGTACTAATGAGCTGTGTTTTATGTGGTGTTGCAGTTTGTTTGCATTTATAACATCATGATGAGTATGCCAGATGATGCTGCCGGTTATATCGCAACAAAGCGCGTCATAAATGAAACTTTTAACATCGTTTTGTACCTCAAATCATGAGTCACAAAGGGTGAGAGTGAAATCAGAACAATGTGCAATTCGTGCTTAATGATATGAATCTTCAAGCATTTTTTAAATCCGTATTTAATGTTGCCTAAATTTTTCTTATATTCAGTTCGAGAGTGCGCAGCATAAGTAAAGGGTGATTCAGTGCATTTTTAGAAAAGAGTACTAACACAAGCCTCAATCTTTAAATCGTCTTGCTGTTACAGTTATCTGTGACCAGTGTTTTGGCTCTCAACTAACCAACTTCGTTTCTGAAGACTGAGTGACATCTCTTAGCAATGCCATTTTGCCATATGTCTTCGACCTTGGCCTTGAACTGACCGAAATCTTGTTCTTTATCATTTCCTTATGCTATACGTTTAACTGCGTTTGATCAATCAGAGCCTTGTGATCCTCGTTCGGAGGTTTGGTAATACAGTAAGAAGACATGACCATTAGCAGTTTGGGCATTAATAAAGACGATGTCCTTCAATATTAGGAGAGTGTCATTCTCAGGGACCGAAAGTTCCTCAAAAGCATAAATGCTTTCTCAACACGGGCCGCAGTTGACATGTGTGTTTACTGCGGCGAGGTTCATCGCGTAGCTTCGACGGTTCAACAGTACACACTAGAACAGACTTTGCTCAGCATTGTGAGTCATTCTTTGGTCGTCGCTTGCCCCCAGCGACCGAGGAGCTAAGACGACATTTGGTTGTTTGTAGCAGTAAATTCGTATAAGTAGTACATATTACTTAATATAGACAGTGCTTCACTGGCTCCAATAAATATTTACTTTATGTGCTTCTTTTGAACCTGAAACACAGTGTTGTGCCTTGAATAAAACACTGTTTCAGGTTCCTAAAGCTTCGCTGTTCCAAATAAACAATTATTCTAGGCTTTTCACCGCTGTTTGTTCTGATTTATAGTTGCAGGAGTCTGTTGTTTCAATTTCACAGGGAAATTATTACACAGTTGTTGCTTTTCATAATGTTTGTTTTTACCGTTGGTTGGCTGGCAAAGGCTGACGAAAGGTCTATTACGTTTCCTGTTTCAGGGACACTTTCGATCAGCTGGGCTGTTTTAAATCAAAATCATCGGAGTGTGGAGATCATTCAAGTTCCGCTGGATGTCCTCCTGTCGTTACCGATGTTTCTTCGGTTTTATTTGTTTTGCCGGATGATGGCGTTGCACAGTCGTCAATTCAAAGACGCCGCCACTCGCAGCATTGCCGCTCTGAACCATATCAGCGTAAACTTTGCCTTCGTTCTCAAGACTTTAATGCACGAAAATCCGCTCTGGGTCTTGGTCGTGTTTACAATCAGTTTTTGGATAGTCATGGCTTGGATTCTCAGTCAGTGCGAAAGGTACAGATTATTATTTTTCTATTTTATAATATCTCTGAACGGGTTCAGAGGAGTTAAGCATCGATCCCAAATCGCAGTTAGCAGTTCTAAACAAATTAGTTGAATTCTTTTTCCGGATGGGAACTGTTTTCTCTGAAAGGCTCCAAAACGGTTATTCCCATATAAAGGTTATTTAACATAATTCCGAGATTTTT